CTTATGTTCGGTGCTGGTAGTGTCGGACCACGTAGAGGCCCTCGTCTTCTCAGTGGACCCCCGATTGCCACTCAGTGCCCTCTGGCCGGCATTTGAGGATCCGGTCCGCAGAGCCCGGAGCCCCTTAACGCGACCTCCAACCAGCTCCTGGAGCCATTGATCGCCACCCCTTGGGACCTAAGGGAGGGGGGAGGACGTGTCCCTGTGTTCATACCCTTGCCTGCGTCCCTGAGTACTGGTGGCAGACATGTGTTTGGCTCGATTTTTGATGAGCCGGCTCAGGACCGGCTCACAGATTTTGGAATCCCATTCAGCTCATGACTCATAGCCATTGCAATTTTTCTATTCAGTATTCATATATACATACATATATATATATATATATATATATATATACATATATATATATACATCTATATATATATATATTTGTATATATATATATATATATATAAACTCTGCTCTAAACTGACAGTCGGCAGTCTGCACTTGCCAAGCGACAGCCAATAGGTAACCACATTTCACCAGCCACTACGGGCCACGCCGTCGACGATGGCATGTCAAAAATTCAACTACGGATTCTAGTTCTTGCAACAGTGATTAGCATAAGTTGCTTACATATTATGAACTCAATTAACTTCAGTAATAAGCATTACAAATCACAACTGCATTTCTTACAAACAAGCCCAATACAAAATCCACTTCACTCAAACCTGTGTTCATACCCTTGCCTTGTCTTCCGATCAGTCTTCCTAAAAACAAAGTCGTGAAAAACAAACACTTGTTATAAAGATTGCTCATCAGTGCCATAAATGAACTGTTTTTCTCTGAGAATACGTCTTTACATCAGGTGCAGTTCAAAAAGAACAAAAATTGGATCATCTACCCACTTTAAAACTGGAAATAGTTATTGATGCAACCCCTGGAAGTCACACTCTGCATCACGCAATCTGCACATCTGACAAGACGATCTTGCCACTATTGCTGTTTATTTCATGTAGCCTCGACAATAGCGTACTTACAGCAGCTCAAGCAGTGAATGAAAGGTCAGGTACGGATTAGGTCATCTTTGTGAAAATGGAGAATGAAAAACATGACCAGCCTTGAATTTTATAGATATAGACACTGATTTTAGCATAAGATATGGGACTGTAAGATGCCTGGACCATGCAATATACTTTGGTTCTTAGCTGAAACTTGGCAGATTTAAGATAAGAATCAACAGCATTGTGCTTGCTGCTTAAGAAATCACATAAACATACCTTGTGTTTATTTTTCAAAAGCTGTACAACCAGTCCTGCGTGTTGCTCATTTTAACAATCTGAAATGGCCTGTTAATTTGTCCGTGACGTGCTTGTTTCCTCATGTCACCATTTTAATTTGAGTCGCATGGCTCACTGACACGCCGTTGCTAGAAAGGATCAGCGCACGATTCAGCTCGTAAAACTAACGAAGAATGCGATTCAGCTGATGGCTCAAAGCGCCTTTTTATAACGAGCCGACTCAGCTCCCGGCTCACCCCAAAGCAATGAGGTCGTGAGCCAATTCACGATTCAGCTCGAGAAGAGCACGGGTCTGGTTGGTGTTGAGGCGTGATGGCAAAACACAAGGCAGTTATTGCCTGACGAGCCAAGCAGAATACGTCATGCTGTGATACGCTTTCAAAGGTGGCGCTTTTGCGACACTTTGCATCATACCATTCCTTCATGCTTGAGTTGGTCACACACGCTATTAGACAAAAGACCACACACGTTGCTAAAAATGTATCGTTGATGTAAACGCTACCATTAATCAACTTAAGATAAGAACGCAGTTATTTCTTAACAATCTGTGTGACACAAAACCTGTACAGAAGGCGAGGAGTACCTCCAAAGATGCGAACAATTGACGTAACGATAAGCAGAACCTGACAGTCAACATCTCTACTGAAATCTGAAACTAACTACGGAATTGCTTCCTTCTTAAAATAGACACATTCGTCGAACAGCATGCCGTGTGTGGCGTGCGGCTCTCGTTAATCGCAATCTCACAGATCCAGATCAGATCAGATCACAGATCCTAAGACGAAGGAGGTCATAAATGGTAATCCATTTCAGGTTTGAAGAGCGCTTGTCGGTCAGGCGCGGCAGATCAATCCATCATAACGGTTTTGCATGGGGTAATCTCTGCGTGCGTGCGGCGGTGAATGGGCTTTCGCAGACGGCTGAACGGGGTTCTGATATGGGCGGGGGAATATGTCGATCCAAGAGATGGGAACTCCGTGTGCATTCTGAATGAAGCCTGGACGGCTGAAAGATACCCGGTGTGAAATACAGCAGATGCGCTGTGATTAACCGTCCTTGCTGCACGCTGAGTGTCTTTAGGTCGCCCATGACGGTATTGTGGGCCTCAAACAGCTTTTATGAATAATAGCTTTACAGATAACTTTACCCTCGAAAATGATTGCGGAAGGAAGCTAGGATAGACACACAAATCGCTTAAAATGTAGCGCAATCATTGCGCCGGACATTGTGGGCAGAAGAAAGCAACTAAGCTATACTGTTGGGGAACACCGAACAGCTATTGCTTATACGCAAGCAGTTTTTCAGCACTGCGGGGGCTGCGGCGGATGCAGTAACAAAAGAGCTGAGAGCTGATGTCGCAGCCGCTGGCCTGCCATCGGCTGTGACAGGGAAGCCTCAGCACTCTAGAGTGGAGTGGTTTCTTCAGATGATGATTGGCTGAGAAATGGAAAGCACTTTTACGTTTCGAACATCGCCGCGCAAAAGCGTACTCCATTACCCTCGATCTCTGCACCTTTTATGGTAATGCCCGTGGGCTCCTGCTCTCACTGGGCTTATTAAAGCCCAAGCGGCTCGTAAACAGCCTGGGGTGGACTTTTGGGGCATATTGTTCATGCTGGAGCGCTTGCTAAGCTGATTGGCGACATCGCATTTCGTTGTGCCTGCGCTGGTGGTACGGGCCAGTTTCGTTCGAGGCCGTGCACCAGGTATGCTGCGGGGGTGCTGTGCCGCTCTCAAGCCATGTCATTATCGCCCCGGGCCGGCGTGACGTCCTCAGATGTTTTGAACAAGGGCGTCACATATGCAAGGAGAGCGCGCTAGGTCACCGGCTTCAAAGCCGCAGAGATGAAAGAGACAGCGGCGTGCGGTAATTTTCCACCGCACGCGCAGGGACTTCCTTAACAGCCGCGCTCTGTCTCCGCAAGCCCATCTTGGAGCAAAGCGCAAAACAAGATAAAGCGCGTGGTCGGACCAAAAATCGCTTTTATTCAAATATGCAAAAGTTTTGCATTGCGCTGCTTATTCCTCTTACAAATTTATTTTGCCAGGAAGTTATCTCTTTGTGCCATAAAATTCTGCAACGATTTGACCTTGGCATGAGCCCTATGGGCGGAGAATACACATTAGTGATACTTTCATTATCGCACTGCTTCAACACATGGCGCCAATCCCAAAGATGACGTGCATGGCATCTCTGGTTCAATTAGTTGGGATGTGTTGGGCGTAAATAATTGTGTTTCTTTATTATTCTAATTTGCTCATTTCGAGACAAATAAAGCATATCACGCTTGTAACGGACCCAATCCTATCTAAAGCAACGGCAGACCATTGAGGCCAACAGAAAGGGCCAAAGCGTGCTTAAACAGTACAAACAGCCAGACAGATTAATCATGATTAAAAATGGCCGTTCAGTTTGCTTGTGCCAACAAGGCTGAACTCCTCATACGTCTGCAGCAGACAGGATCTAAATGAATCGGCTCCGTCTCGTCACACCCCGCGAGACGTCACATCTGAACGATCACGGAGCGGTCGCAATGGCCAGGCGTCCAGGCCTCGGCCGCTGGAGGCATTGCCAATCACGGAACCTGTACAAATGCCGCAGCATGGAGCAGGCCAGTGTACAAATCGCACTGAAGCTTGTAGATTTGAGTGTTCTTGCCCTAAAAATGGCGTGATTATCACCATGACTGCGTATTACGATCTGACTTATCATTTCCAGAATTAACAGAAAGGTGATTCATTTGCTTTGAAGAGGGACTTTGGCGGTCATTTTTCCTCCACACTTTGGTATGGATCAAAACATTTTCGGGAACGTATAATTCAGTACCCCCTGTCGAGCTCGTGGGATATTCCGACAGATGTATCTGCCAGAGTGGTCACCTGGAGTTGTCAGTCCCAGCAGTCGTGCCCTGGTGGTGCCACACTAACTTTGGTTAACTTTAGGGTGGAAGTGTCGGATGCTCCTTCGATGCAAACAAACACTGGTTTCTCTTTTTGCGGTCCCGCCCGCGCTTGGCCAACGTAAAGTGAACGTTCACGTGCTGGGATGATTGTGTAAGAGGTCCGTGCCCCACTGCACCCAATTGCTTGAAGTTGTCATACTTCTAAACTATCTCCGTAAGTAGCAGACCCTTCATGTCATTTATTACATAATTCTGCCCCCAAGTGAGGTTAATGAAACCAGCCATCTTAATCACGCATATGTGTGCATGAGACCAAGTCCTACGCAGCGCGTCCCGTTTCTGAAAGCTATTGCCAATTAATTAAATTTAAGCATAAAATGATGGACGGGAAAGAAGAAGCGGCTTTTGTTGTCAAAGCCGCTGAATTTCCTTTCCTTTTTGTCACCGACGACGTCAGTAATACTGCTACTCCTTCGACTCGCAGCCAGCGGAAACCTTGATCTGCGCAAGCGCTGCACAGCACCGTTCAGTTGGCTTCCAGCCGTCGGCATTCATTAGCCTGAATTGCGGGAGCAGTGCACCAGCGAGCTTCTCAGCTCAGGCCTGCCAGCATTATCTGATGCCGGGTGATCGGTCGATTCATCTGGCGTTCGAGACGCCAACGATAGCTCGTTGAGCGACGCTTCGAAGCCCAAGGTGCCGGGGTCATGTCGAATTCGCTCATCTGGAATCTGCGTGTATCGCATCTGCGCACCGCCTGTGCACTGACGCGCGCTGTTTGGCCGGCAGGGTCGCCCTACATCAAGTCCGCCTCGGAGCCGCCGGCCCGACCGCCGAACGAGACGTCATCCGTGCAACCCCGGTTCATGACGTCACCAGAGGCCCGAACGGTGACGTCACGGGTCAACCAGCCGGCGCACCTGCATTGCCGCGTGGCTAACCTGGGCGACCGGGCGGTGAGTTGCTGGCCACGTGAAAGCAGGGCCCTGCCAACGCCACCCTGATTCGGTTCCCTGTCATAACCGCAGAAAGCGCAGTCCGGGTCAGATTGACAAGGCAGTTACGTGCATGCGTCTGATTGCCAGAGCTTGTATGTGAAAGCTCTGGGCTAACGCCGCTGATCGAACTGTATGATCGATTTAAGTGACTTTTATTGCTTAGTTATCTTAGTTGTGTTTAAACTTACAAGGATTGTGCATCAAAAGAAATGTTTATTTTTCTGACCTACTCCCATGCTTAGCACCTGCTTACCTAAAAGTGAAGATTCTCAAAAAGCTTGCACCACCGTATTATTCGCGATATGTTTAAAATTATCCTTGTTTTTTAATGATCTTTGTGAAACATCTTCTTTAGCACGCACGATCAACAAATAACATCAACTGCGATCCCAAATACACCTAACCCTCACTTGCTCGGTCCACAGGAAATGGCCGTTCTAACCAGCATCATCTATTTATCCTTGCGGAAATACTTGTTGCTTACAATTTGCTAGAAATGCTCTGAAGTTGCGAGCATTTTTATATCCGTTATGGGTCCCAGTGGAAGCCACAATGTAAAGATGAATGTGTTTGGCTTGCCTCACGATCCATAACTCTCGTCGGCGTTTGGCCATGCTTACCACCAACCGCAATGCCAATGAGAAGCACAGCTTGAAACGGAACAACACTGATATCCTGTCCGAGTATGGAAAGAAACCAATACTACCCATTCTTCTTTTCATGGCCAACCTATGGCGTCCACACACCAGTCTAGAACCCTCGGTCGACCAGCCGTAAAATTGGAAAGATATTTCACGATTTTTCGTTAGATTCGCTTACTTCACAACGTTTTGTACTGCACTGTACCCAACTGCTGCTTATGCCTTTTCAATTCCGCTTTCTATTGCAACACGATGATAAACCCCGAAACATAGAGGCGCAGAGAACACGTCATGGCGCGATGGACGCGTCTGCAAACGCCGCTGTCGGTCGATTTGTCCGCGTTATCGGAGCCGGGTTGATACGGCGGCGTGGTAAGCCACATCCGGCGGCGAGTAGTCCCTTGGCGGTCGCAGTCGGACGAGATTAATGACATCAATAATCAATCAGCCGTCCCATTTAGCCCCGCCACTCGGCGCTGTCGGGCCCAGACCGGCCGCCAGTCCGTCTGACCGGGCTGGAGACGGACTGAACGGACTGGAGACGGACTGAACGGACTGGAGACGGACTGACCGGGCTGGAGATGGGCTGACGGGGCTGGAGACGGACTAACCAGGCTGCAGACGGACTGACCGGGTTGGAGACGGACTAACCAGGCTGCAGACGGACTGACCTGGCTGGAGCCGGACTGAACGGGCTGAAGACGGACTGACTGGGCTGGAGCCGGACTGACCGGGCTGGAGACATACTGACCTGGCTGGAGATGGACTGACCAAGCCGGAGAAAGACTGACCTGGCTGGAGACGGACTGACCTGGCTGGAGACGGACTGACCGGGTTAGAGACGGACTGACCGGGCTGGAGACGGACTGACCGGGTTGGAGACGGACTGACTGGGTTGGAGACGGACTGGCCAAGCTGGAGACGGACTGACAGGGCTGGAGAAGGACTGACCAAGCTGGAGAGGGACCTGGCTGGAGACGGACTGACCTGGCTGGAGACGGAATGACCAAACTGGAGACGAACTAATCTGGCTGGAGACAGACTGACCGGGCTGGAGCCGGACTGACCGGGCTGGACACAGACTGACCGGGTTGGAGACCGACTGACCCGGCTGGAGACGGAATGACCAAGCTGGAGACGGACTTATCTGGATGAAGACAGACTGACAGGGCTGGAGACGGACTGACCAGGCTGGAGACGGACTGACCGGGCTGGAGACGGTCTGTCGAACAGCCTGAAAACTCACCTCCTCACAACCTTATTTAAGGAAATCTCGCCGGCAGGCTATGCAATCGCGGCCAGTTTTTCGGTAGCTTACGAAGTTTTATAATTTATCCTAAGCTTTTTGAACGGATATATTTCTGGGATCAGAGCTCACGCTAAGCAGTGTTTGTTGTGTCAGCCCTAACCCCTACCACCCGCTAGCGCAATTCCAGGTCAACGGCAGAATTTGGTGGCGCAAGTTTGACATGCCACAATTCTTGGCATGCTCCATCCTGCCCTCTGACATCAACTGACCTCTAGTGCGGCCGCTGTCACCGGCCGCAAGTCATTCTGTCAAGGGCAAATATCAAGCGCCTTGAGCGACTCAAACTCACCCCACGACAGATGGGTGGATCGCAAGACAGGCGCTCCAGCCAGCTAAACCAGCGTGACGGACAACTAGGTGGATTTATTAGATTCATTATTGCATGTGTTTTGACAGAGTCATGGTATCCAACGTTCCTGGTTTGAGTAGCGACAGTTTATTAGGAACACCGCACGGCGATAGACGTCAGGCGTGGGCGGTAGGCGACAAACCCGCCGATCGCGTGTGGGGAGAAGACGCTGTGACGTTGACGGAGTTCTTCACTATACATATGTGCTCAAAACGCGTAAAATGGTGGCGCAATCCTGGTGCTTAGAGTCAGACCAGGAACACGCCTATCTAAGCGTGGTTTTTTGGGTTTCATGGTTTCGGATGCGTAAAGCTGAAAAATGTCGATTTAAAAAGAAAGAAAATGACCTTTGACCTGGTCTAATGGGATAATTCATTAACGTAGAGGCTGAACGTAGAGAATTCATAACGAATCTTGTTACCGATCGCAGGATCTCGATGACCGCAATTTAATAGTCTTTCTCGCCCTGGGCTCTGTCTGCCTTACTATTAAAAGGATCTGACTTGTTTGTTTGCTATCTTGTTGTTGTCTTTCAGATGCGGTATTGCGTCTTGTTTGGGAACGACAAAGAGTCCGCTGGTTGGGGGTCGCATCGAACCCTTTTTTCTTTTAGTCAGCGCTATGAAAGCCGCCGAATCAGGACAGTGGTTAAAAAAAGCTTTCCCATCATGCGCCATTTTAAAATTCAGTCTATTTTGTGTGTCGTCCCTACAATTTTATCTTGCGTGAATATGATACCCTAAGACTGTGCATATATCTATTTCTGTATATATATATATATACATATATATATACATTTATATATATATACATATATACATATATATATATATATATATGTATATATACATATCTATGTACATATATACTTATGTATATATGTATATATATATATATATATATATATATATATATATATATATATATATAAACACAACTGTCGCATCACATGATTGCAAGGGTAAGAACGATATAAGGTACACAGAAGAAGGATATAAGGTATAAGGTACTTAATACACCTTCTTAATACACATGCGATCTATCCGAGATATTGATAACACTGACAATTCAACCGCACTTGGCTCAACGGACCAAGCTGTCAATAAACCTGATTATAAAGTGGAGATTTCGCTAGTTGTGAGGAGAAATCATCGCAGCAAGTAAGTGCTCGCAAGCTATTCCACATACAAGACTGGACCTCAGAGAGCACTGCCATGTGTCAGCGAGCTGTGATGTCCAGAGACGACGCGTACACAACTTTGAGGATGAGACGCAACTCGAATGACATCCATTTGGAGTTTTAGTCACCAGTCTCTTTCTATTTGGTTAAATTAAGTGGAGAGCGGATGAATGTTGCCACAAAAACCCAACCATACATGAGCTGGACTATTGGCTATTGTGCATTAGGGTCACTCGTATTTTTCGAGCTTAAGTTTTAAGAAATGCAGAGCCTTATGATGTAATGGATATTTTCCCATGCATATTGTAACTCAGGTGCGGGGCACAAAGACCTTGTATGTGGGATAGAACAAAAATATCAGGAGTTACTAGATTTTGAAAAGTCACGTGACAATCACATTTTAAGTCGTATTGTATCTAAATTGAAAAACGTGGTAACGGCAAACACCACACGTTTTGGTGGTCTCGCAGCTGTCCCAGAAACATGTGCCTGATGCTGGACCCTTTTTCATCGTCATTTGATCTATCGACCTCAAAAGCTGTAGAAATTTTAGCCTTGGGCGATTTAAGCCATGCAGCTACAGGCTAGGAGGCTTCGGGTTGACAAAACCGTCCATTGCCTTGAATAGTTTTTATGTAATAAACAACAATGAGTCAGATGGAACATTGACGCAAAAAATAATCATTTCTAAACTCTATAAAGCTGATCTTTAAATCCGAACCGGGCAAGGCATGTGCATAGGTCTGCGCTATAGGCCCAAGGCCTGTGTAGATACCTTCTTCGTTGCCAAGAAGATGCATTTTTTTACAGTTAGATGTCGGAACGCAAATTAGCAGTTCCTTTCCACAGAACCAAATAACTCTAACTGCCAAATGACGTGAGCGCGGCTGTCGTGGGTTCATTGACTTGCAGGGCGGCGGAGCCGACAGCAGGCACTCTGCAGACTCCCTAATTCCATGTTGCCGTCAGACGCTATCATTTGTCTTAGACAATTTTGGACACGACGCGTTCTATTTTCTTTTTATCAAATCCCCAGATGAAGGCAAACGTGCCTTAAAAATCCACCACTGCGTCCTAGATTCTGAGTGGGGTGTTCATTATTTTGTCGGGATCTGTAGAGACGGACGTCCTCAGGCAGTGTATTCCTCTGCTGTTGCCAGAATTTGTTGGAGAGCCTCGGCAAGTGCCATTGTGTCTGCTGTCCTGAGCGATCGTTGTTGATGGTACACATGCCACAGGCGAGGACTCGAGACGGACTGAATTAACTATGTATCCCAGTCAACAGGCCCACCCATATGTCCAGTCCAACCCGAGGTTTGCTTTCGTGCCCAGCCGTC